GGGTCTGCCCCCGAAGTGGGTACTTGGGAGTAGTTGATATCGTTTGAGATAGAATGTCATTTGGTCTGCGATGACTGCCGTTAGAAGTTTGCAGGTGGTGTTGAGGAGTGCTATGGGTCGGTAGGCTTTCGTAATGGTGTAGTCTGGTTTGCCGGGTTTTCGGAGAACTACCGTCGTGAATTGTCGCCAGGGCTGATAATAGGTTTGAAGGTTGATGGTTGCGTTGAATAGCGGGAGGAGGAATGGGACCAGGATGTCGGCGCATTGCTTGAAGACAATGTTGCATATTCCATCGGGTCCTGGCGCTTTGTAGGGACTGAGCTTCCGGATGTTGCGTTTGATCTCGTCGGGGGTGATGGGTGTCATAGATGCGATTGGGTCTGGGTACTCGAAGTCTGTCAGGACGGATGATGTGTCGGGTCGAGATGGGAAGAACGACTTAGCTAGAGCCACACTCTTTTCTGCGTTGCTGGTCGCGTCAACGATGGTCCCGTCTTGTTGGCATATTGAGAGGGTGGGGATTCGAGTCTTGCTCCCGTCGGAGGGCGTGGAGGTGATGTATTTGTTTGCGGTCCAAATTTCGTTACCTGATACTTCCTCTAACCAGTCTACCCAGTGTTGCTTTTTGGATCTGAATATTTCTTCAGCGTAGTCGTTGCGTAGGCGCTTGAATTCATTATGGCATGGGTGCAAGGGTAAACCTCTCATTTTGTAAGCAGTGTGGCTGGCTTTGTTGACTTGTCGGCGCAGGATGGTGAGTTCACGTGTCCACCATCGCTTCGAATGGGGGTTTGGCTTGGATAGAGGTACCGCTTCAGAGATGACTTCTTCGAGAGTCAGTGCTAGGTTGCGGGCTGCTGTTTGGAATTCTTCGTCGGTGACTAGGGGTGAGGGGGCAGGCCTGGTATCGAGTCGTGTCTTGAGGAGTGTCTTGAAGTTGTCCCAGTCAGTGTCGCGAAAGTTGCGGGTGGGTTCGAAGTTGGTTCTAGGGATGGTTAGCTCGAGAATACTTAAGATAGGAACATGGTCAGTTTTCGGGCCTCGTAGCGCTGGGTTAGTTCCGCATTTGATGAATATGTCCATTGAGTGATCCGTACAAAACACGTTGTCGGGCCGTGTCCAATTTCCGCTGCTTGATGATTGAAGGGTCGGTTCACCTTTGGGTAGTGGCTGGTTCATTCCGTAGTCGGCTAAGAGTTCCATGAGGGGTTGCGCTGCGTTAAGGTTGATAAGATGTTCATTTCGTTCTTCCTCCCAAAGTGGATGGTGGCGGTTGAAGTCCCCAAGCCATATCATGTGGTCTTCTGCGGATGGGCGAATGTTGGCAATGTTAGCTGTTAGGAAGGTTTCGAGAGCGTGAATGGTGTCTTGTTTCTTTCCGTCGTTGTAAATGTTGAATATGGTACAATTTCCGAAGGGGGTGGATAGTTGAATGACGACGACGTCCGAGGAGGGAAAGGGAAGCTGCTTCCAATCGTTTGTGTTCAGAGATGTGCTAACGAGCATAACAGCACGGGTTTTTTGTTCTGGGTGGGTGTAGTGTTGCGTCGGGTAGAGTGTGTGCCATTGTCGATTGGACTTGGTGTTGCGTAGTCGGTCTTCGCAAGCTTCCTGGAGGGCTAGAATATCCCACTTTTTGGCTGTCGGACCATTGAGAATTGATTCTTGTGCTGCGCGAGAATTGTTGAGGTTCTGTTGCCAGATGCGTAAGCGGGCGGGTGTTGGTTCCGGTTGTTCAGACATGGTCTACGTGTGGAGGAGGGGTCGTTACTGCTGATGTTGGTGAGGATGGTGCTGTTGATGGGGGGTACCAGAGAGGTGTGTGTGTTATCGTGGGCGACAAAGAGAGAGACGAAGTCGGAGTAGGTGGTTGAGGTGGCGATGTTTGGGGGTTGGTGGCTGTGAGCTGGTTGTTGGCGTCAACGTCAGCATCGGAGTCAAGTCTGTCGATTGGGAGGATATCGTATCTGTTTGCAGGCATTGGGGTCAGAGGTTGAGTGTTGGTGGTGGGTGGTTGGGTTCTGGGTATGGCGATGGAGGTGAGTGTGGTTTGACGTAGGCGAGGTGCCGGTGGTGGTGGAGCATCTTCTGAGTGTTGGGCTGGTTCTGCTGTCTTTCTTTCGTAGGGAGGTGCCTTGGGTGGTAGCGTAGCGTGTGTCCATTGATCGCTGGTGGGGAAGTATGGGAGGGAGTTTTCAGGGTGTTTGGCGTTGATTTCCTCGCATCGTCTTCTGAACTCAGGGCATGTTCTACTCCATCCTGCGTGATCGTCGTTGCGGCAGTTGGCGCATCTAAAGGTGCGGTAGGCATTGCAATCAGATGTGCGGTGGTTCTCCGCGCATGTTCCGCAGATGTCTTTACTTGAGTTGCAGTTGCGAGCTATGTGGCCATAGCGTTGGCATTTTGCACAGCGGGTAGGTTCTTTCTTGTCCTTCTTGACTCGGACGAGATGTTTGTCGATGTAGACACCATCTTTGATGAGCTTGTTGGCAGTTTCGGCGTTGCTGGTCTGGAGTAGGGCGAAGGCCATCTGTTGGCCAGGGGGTCTTTTGTGGGGGGGTTTGATCCAGCGCATGGATATGAGGGCTTCGTCTTCTAGGTGGTTCTTCTTCTCGATTAGCCGGAGGAGACCTGGGCGCTCAATCAGTAGGTTAACGGGAATGTATTGTACTACCAGTGTATAGGTTCTGTCTTTGAATAGGACTGCGTTGTTCAGGGCCTGAAGAAACGTTTTTCGGGTGGCAGGATCTTTGAGTTTGTTCGCTGTGTGTTCGCTGTCCAGTTCGATTATGAGTCCTCCATTGCGGAGTTGGAGTAGTGCCTTGATGCCGGCTTGGGGGTTGTTGGTGGATGGTGATAGTGACGTCTTGAGTGCGGCTCGGATTTTGCTGATTGTGTCTTCGTGACTGATTCCGGGAGGAAATACGGAGTTGTCTAGGATAGGGTCCAGTAGGATTTGGCGTGCACGAATGGCTGATCTGGCTAAGGCTTCGTCTATGGGTGGGATTTGGGCTAACGGCGTGCTTGCTACTACTGGGGTGTAGACGTTTACGTTTTGAGGGCAACCGCGTGATGTTGTCGGCCGTTTGGTGTGTCCTGGGGTGTACGCCGATATGATTTCGCTGAAGGTGGATGCAGTTGGTTCTGGTGGGTTAGGCGGAGGGGAATTGGTGAGGTGGGAGTTGAGTTGCGTTGAGAGTGTGTTGATGCGATCTTGGGTGGCATCCAGCGATGGTGAGAGGAGATCGAACGTGTTACTACAATCGTCGATGGAGCTGCTTAGAGTGTCCGTGGCATTGGTGATCCGTTCTGCAGCTGCATTGATGTCTCTGTCTAGATCTATTCTTTCGCCTATCTGGTGTTGGAGTTTGGTGGTTTCTGCTATGGAGTAATTGAGGGTTTCGGTTGTTGAGGCAAGTCGGTCGAGTTGAGGAGTGATGGAGGTTGTGATCTGCCGCTCTATCTGCGGGACGAGGGTTGTTGTGATATGATCTATTATCTGGGGAGTTAGTTGGGTTAGTATTGTTGAGTCTGGAACCTGGTGCGCTTCGGAGCTTCTATTTTCGTTGGTCTTTCGGATTGCGTCATCGAGAGTTTCTGAGGCTGTTAGTATTTTTGCGACTTGTGGGGCGATGGCTGCTACCACATGATCTACTAGTTTCGATGTGACGGCTTCGGTGATCTGCTTGGCTACTGACTCTGTGACTTGTTTGGCTACCGTTGCCGTGATCTCGTCTGCTACGTGTTGTTTGAGGAGGAAGACGGCTGCTCGAATGGCAGTGATGACTGGTAGTGGTGTAGAGCCGGAGATCTGAGTTATCTGTAGGAGGATTGAGGTCAGGTGAGTTAGGGTATACGGTTCAGTTTCGATGCAGAGGCTCTTTTTTGTTAGGTATTTGTGCGCACTAGCAAAGTCAGAGACTGTGCTAGGTAGCGCTTCTATTTCTGTCGAGGTCAGTGTGGTTATCGCGGATCTAGTTGTTCTTTTTATGGAAGGTCCGCCTGGCATAGTTGGAGAAGTGTTCCTGGAGATTGGCGTTTTGGAACCGATACTCATGCTACGTCTTGTGGTGGCCATTTTTCTGATTTTTTAATTTTTAAGGAAGGAGTTTTGGAATTACTTGGAAGGAACAGGTGGTTTTTTGGTTGAGCTTGGGCGCCGTTGGGCGTCGTTGGCGCCTTTGGGCGCTGTTGGTGAGAAAGTTTTCGGGGTCTTACTCGGGGTGCCACTTGGTGTGTGACCAAGAAGCCTTTTTCGGAGTATGGGTTATTGCGATGATGTGTGTATCCGCATAGGACTCATTACTGACGTTGGATAACCGAAAGTGCGAGTATCTTTGAGTATCAGGGGGTACAGGCAGCAAGAAATCGATGAGCAACAACAACCAAGAACCAAACGGTTTCGAGATCAACCAATGATGAACTTTGAATTCTTTGTAGAAAATCGACATTTGCTGGCATGGTCTGGTTGTTGTGTTAGCTGTAAGCGAGACTGAAAATCCGTCATTATCTGCTTGCTGTTCTTCCTTTCTGAGGTATCGATTGCATGGACGAGAAGAGTAGTAATATTGAGCAAAAGGGGCGGCAAGCTTTCATTTGAGAGCCCCATCAGCTCGCAACGAGCGCACGAAGGGCTTTTTCGAGCTCGCCCCCGCTGTCCAAGAGTGCCTTCTCGGCATGCGATCTAGGAATGCCTAGTTCATTTACCTGCAAAAGCACGGTGGGTGAGTTATGCACTAGATGGAGACTGTAACACGCACGATGAGATCGACATCCTCTCGTTTCAGGACAACAGCATCCTTAGAGGACTTAGCGGGTTTGAGCGTCATGACTTGCCGCAAGCTCTCTTCGAGCTTAGTTTTGGAGTATTGGTAGCCATCATTAAACTAAGGTTGGGGTGAGCGTGATCACGAGGGTAGTGAGAACAGTCACTGACAGCCGCGAGGACTTCTGCCTCTCCCCGTCCGTTGTTCATGTGGTATTGCTGTAAAGGAGTATCGGAGTATGCCGACGCCTGTTATTCATGTCCATCGAACTGGAATGGGAAAAGCTAAACTCGTCACTAGCGACCACCCTCATTGACATCCTCAACAGACAATTAACGACAACTCAAAGACCATCCTTCATCGGTCCTGTCGAAATCTCCTCGCTCGATTTTGGTACCGTCCCTCCAGATATTGAGCTCGTCGACCTTCGTGATATATACCGCGATTTCCTCGATGACTCTGATTCTGACTCCAATTCTGAGCCAGACCATGACGATGTAAAAGTAACGGAGGGTGCAGGGGATGATGAAGACGGGTTTGAGTGGGTGTCAAGGAAGGGGGCACGCCGGGGGATCGCGGAGGAAGGTCTGGCATATCATCATCTGCCACCACACATTCGTTACGGGCGCAGTCCATCCGTGGATTTGTTTGCGTCTACGCCTGCATTGCATGCCGGTTCGCCGAGAGACGTGTGGGGCGGGGGCGCTATGCATGTGAGCATGCCTAGCTTGGGCGAATTTAGGCCGACGACGAGCAGCTTGTCGATACCATCGTTTGATCCTAGTTCGGTGTATGATTCGATGCCCCGCGCGTCTATGACGCCAGATGAGTCTTCTCCTTCTCCACCAAATCCTCCGTCTTCACGCCAGGAACCAGAGCCAGCTCCAACCTCTCCGCCCGATAATCCAGATCTTCAGCTGCATCTCTACCTTAATTGGCACTCCAATCTCCGGCTCACGCTCACGACATCCTTATTGATCAATTACCCTTCCCCGTCGTTCATGTCCCTTCCGATCAAGCTTTCAGTGACAGGGTTGGTGTTCACGGGAGAAGTGGCTGTCGCGTACGAGGGTTCGCGTGGCCGAGTGCACTTGTGCATACTCGATGAATTGGATCCCTATGGTCCTGCGTGCAAACGCCCACGAAGCCAAACCAGCACCCCTCCTGAAATGGACGAAGACAACGGAAAACGCGACGGAAAACCTTTGCCAATTGGCCAGCGCCTCCTCCCGTCTATCTTGATCGAGAGTGAGATTGGCCAGGCGGACAAACATGTCCTTAAAAACGTGACGCGAGTCGAGAGGTTCATTCAAGATGTCATACGGAATACGGTGGAGGAGGAACTCGTGTTTCCGAATTTTCATACATTGATCATTGGCGACCAAGGACGCTCGTGAAAACGATAATGTAATGTACAACCATAGTGTAACTGTATATGTTATAGTAGTGATTTGCTCATGTAAGGACCGTCGAGCTCGTAGCCCAGTTTGCGGTAATAATCTCGAGTACCGACACCTGTGGAGAAGGTGAGTGTAAGCTTCCCCTTGTAAACCAAAAGTCGGACCTGATATGACGGCGAGCTTCACACTTCCATGTTCCTCCCGTGCTATTCGTTCTGCTTCTTCCATGAGCAGTGTCCCAAATCCCTGATGTTGGAATTTTGTTGGGTCGCGGCCGTGTACTGGAACCGCAGTGCCATAGACATGGAGCTCACGGACAATACTCGACCCTCCCGCTGCACCTTCCTTGCGCACAAGCTCAGGTCGGAAGGTACCTTCCTCGGAACACTTCCGTAGACGAAGAAGCCCAATCAAGATGTCTTGCTCTGGGTCCTCGTAAGAAAGGAAGGTCTCCCACCCACCATTGGCCGCATAATCTCGTCTGAGAAGCTCGACAGATTCCGGTCGTACTTTGTGGTGTATTTCATGTATCTGTATGAACATCAGTATCCGAGCCACATATTTCAGGATGCCGCACGCACGCCAACTTCGCGATACCGCACATCCCTGCATTCTGCGCCAAAATCTTTCATTCGATTCAGGGCCAACTCTCGTAGATTGCCCGAATTTTCACAACCACTTGTGACTAGCGGCAATGGAATATCCCTATGGGAAACAATTGTGTTAGAATCATGTTGTTTCACAACAACTTCATGGGACTCGCCTTTGTACACGATATACTCGCGTCCACGGAGGCACGAGCGCCAATATCCGAGCAACGACATCCACCAAGACATTCGGTGTATAATTCTTGTACTTGCCCGTCCGCCAAAGCTCATACAAGCCTGTCCCTCGAATGACCAGAGTAGGATATATCTTTAATCCATCACTCCTAAATGCTGGATTCTCAAAATACTCCTTGAACTGTTCAAGATCCCGCTCCAGACCCACATTCGGGAGATCAGGCATCATATGGGCAACGACTTTGAAGCCCGCATCTTTTGCCATGTGAAAGGACTCGGAGACTGCACGCACAGTATGTCCACGATTTGTGTCTCGGGCAACGTCCTCGTATACTGATTGGACGCCAATTTCGAGGCGCGTGCAGCCGTAGCGGAGCATCTGTGATAGATGGGGCCTCAAGCAGTAGTCGGGTCGCGTCTCTATGGTTATCCCGATCGCCTTTGACTTGCTCTGTTCCGAGTATCTATACGAGGCATAAATATCCTGCTGTTTGAAACCAAAATAGAGCAGTATTTACCGTACTGCTTCATCAACATCGGTGCCCGTGAAGCCAGATAGAGCATTATGTAGCTGTGCGACGAATTTTGCGCGGTAGTCCTCTGGCATGCTCATGAAAGTACCACCCATAATTATGAATTCCACCTTGTCGACACTATGACCAAGGGCTTTTAGCTGTTCGACACGACCTCGCGTCTGTTCGTACGGGTCGTAGCGCGCACGGATGGCACGCATACTTGTTGGTTCATACCCAGTGTAACTTTGCGTGCTGTAATCAAAATCAGAATCCGGCCCACCTGGGCAGTATCTGTGACAGGGATGAGGAACACAGTATAGAGACAACAAAATAGAACATACACGCAAATGTTCCCTGTCATAGCGATGTGAGGACATCGATGCGGTTTGCACATCACTGCTACCACAGCGATCTATGAGGAACCATCAGATCCAACGGGTCTTGTGGGAAGTAGAAGAAAGCTACATACACCGCTGGCCGTTCTTATAGGCCTTGCACGAAGTTTAGGCAAAAGAGCCTTTTTATATTCGTCCGGTATGGCGCTGATGATATCTACCAGCCTCGGCACGCCCCCGAAGCCATATTTCTTAGAGATCTTTGCGCGGAGTTCATTCAGCGAGACTGTTTGGTTAGAATCGTGGGCTTTTATTAATTCTGCGGCGATTCCTGACGTTACACGAAGGAGGATCTCGGCCTGGGAGGGGCCTTACTGAGATTGTGAGTTGGTGGATGAAAGTGAGTGTGTGATGAGTGTACCTTCGGTTTTTGACCCTTGAACCATTTATAGGCTATCAATTCGGTTGCCAAAAAATGATACGTGTCCTGTTCCTTTCTGTAAGTTTTCTTGCTTGTCGTGCAATCCGATCTTGAAGAATTAGCTGGTGAATGTGTATCTACTAGGAACTGCCGAATCCCGATGTGACTATTACCTCGGGTCACACGTTTGTCACGCGCTATTCCGTTGTCACGCTTTGACTCGCCGACGCTAAGCTATGTTTCGACAATGTCGTTTTTCACGACTGCAAAAGTTACAGATTCGTTCTTATTATGTCTCCAGGACACATGTTCCGAGAAAAGGCGACAAGGGTGAGTTAGATTTATCCTGCGCTCGCGGTAATAAATTCCTCATCGATTTCACACCCAGTTGTCGTTGCAATGTCCGGAGGAGTGGATTCCTCAGTCACTGCAAAATTACTAACGGACAAAGTAAGCATCATATGTCATACTGTCACAGCTGACAGATTTTTGTGCTGGCAGGATTATGACCTATCAGCAGTGTTCATGCGCAATTGGGATACGCGCGACGAGTCTGGTTCAGATCATGGATGCGAGTGGGAGAAAGACTGGGAAGATGTCAGACGCGTGTGCGGGGTGCTCGATATACCTTGTAAAATGGTATGTTTTATTGATTTACTTTTGCAAGCTTCTAACTTTGTTTACTCACAGGTGGATCTCTCCCGCGAGTACTGGACGCGGGTATTCGAACCCTCCTTGAAGTCCTGGGAGAGCGGTATCACGCCCAATCCTGACGTGTGGTGTAATAAGTGAGTTGTCTTATATCTATAGCTGAGTATTTTGTTCTTAATCTTGGGTCAGAGAAGTTAAATTTGGCGCATTGCTGGACCGCCTGACCGAGGATCCTGGGCTTTCGAACACTCCATGGCTTGCAACTGGTACTTGATCTTTTTTCTTTCTGTGCTCGATTCAACTCACCTGCTATGCATGCAGGCCATTACGCAAATAAAGATTGGAAATACCATAACGGCGTTCCGCGACCGAGACTTCTTCGTCCTCGCGACGTGACAAAGGACCAGACATATTATCTGTCTTCTGTCCCTGAACGTAGCCTTTCCCGTGCTATTTTCCCTCTAGGATCAATAAAAAAGACAGAAGTCAGAGAGCTCGCCGTGAAGTGGAACTTACCAACGGCTGCCAGACAAGAAAGCATGGGCATATGTTTCGTGGGGGAGAAACGTAAATTTCATGATTTTATATGTGAGCTCAGATTTCATGCTTGGCATCATCCGCTGAACCTTCTAGCTCAGCTCAATATATACCACCTAAGCCTGGGCCGATCATCGATCTGGAAACAGGACTCCAGGTGGGCGAACATGCAGGGCCGTGGAATTTCACTATTGGACAGGGCGCTAAAGTGAAGGGTCTCAAAGAGAAGACCTTTGTTGTGAAGAAAGACATCCCAAAGAATATAATATACGTCGTACCTGGAACGTCAGTATTCTCATATCCTCCTTAGAATCACCTACGATTGTTGATTTTCAGAGATCATTCAGCGTTATACGCACAATCCCTGACCATTCGCGATTGGACGTGGATATGGGCCGACAGCCCACCAATAGAGCTCATGCGTCCTGGGGGCCTCAAAGCACGTATAAAATTCCGACATGTGATGTCTGACATAGGTTGCTCAGTGTACTCGTGAGTCCAGCCGTCATTTTATCGTTCACAATCAGTTAATTAAGTCAGTGACAACGATTGCATTCGCATCGATTTCGATGAGCCGCAAAAGGCCATTGCACTAGGACAAGTTGCAACGATTTACATTGAAGACTGGTGTTTAGGATGCGGTACAATTGTGGAAGTAGCTTAGGTGTCGCATTGTATTTCAGATATCATGAAACGACGAGCTCAACAGGTAATGATGTTCGTACCTGACTTTTGATGCAAATTTTCACGTTTGATCTAGCTCAGATTATTGCGATAGGGTTTTTCGTGGAATCCTGTCGCCTGAGTATCTGCATGAACTATGTGCAGCTGCCACTTCCGCTTTCACTTGCAAAGTAAACCTGTCTTGTACTCGGGCACAGCACCGATGGGTTCCACTCTTTACTCAGCATAATTTCCCTCCTGCGAGCATCGTCCAATTCGACACCAGCGCATCAGACTAGTACTCTTTGACCTCGTACAAGCGATCCGTTAACTTTCGGACGTCTGAAGAGATGTCTGTGCACTACATTTGCTGTTGTCTTCTCCTCTTCCTCTCTTGCAAATAGTGTTCGAATGTCTCGCCGACATTTTAATCTTCAAAGTGCGGTGTGGTGTATAGCTGTGGTTCAGCTAGAACGGTACTGGATTGAAAGAGAAGGTAATGCGAGGCAGGCAATGTATTTCTCAGATACCGGAAAAGAAGGGTCATTTTTCAGTATCTCGGTATGTATATAATATATACTAGTATGCGGGTGGCGTTGATGTCACTTTCTAATTATTGTACATAATGCCTACTGGCTCGTTCCTCGGTTTCTTGATTTGACTCGTAAAAATTACATGGGTATAATATTGCTACATGCTCTACACACATAATCATAGCACCATTTTCAATCACACTTCGTGGACAGCGAGCTACAAGTGAATTCAGTAAAATGTCACACTGACGTCACGTGATGAACCAGAGTATGAACACGACTTATATATATATATTACATAGTACTACTTGGTAGTCACTTGTGAATATTTGAATTTGAATGATCGTCGGCGGGAGTACGCAGAATCTCTAGCTTCTCATTGGCTGGATTACCGGTCCACGTCACTCCCGAGTCCCGAATTCATTCGCGTCACCAGGCGAACAAGGTACACTTCGTTTCAACTCGTTTTTGTCGAATTGTGAGTTGCCCCGGTGCTCGGGTCCCAAACGAAAACAACATTTTAATTAGCGAGCATGTCTACGGCGTCCTGTTCGCTTGCTGTTCGGTATCAACTTGCATTATAATTACGTATGTCATTTGCTATAAAATATGGAACTCGAGTGCTGCTGATCTGTCTAACTAAGTTATCAAGCCATGCTTGCTACCGTTCTGTTGCTTGCTCTGCCGTTCTGCGTTGCAGAGTCAGCATCCAGTTATGCAGGATCAACCGTCGCTGATTCTTATCCTCCCCCCGGTGCTACCAACACTGTCGTGGACGCTTACTTCCCGGATGAATCTCAAGTTGGTTATGCAGGTCCAACGCCTAGTCAGTGTTAATGCTAATTGTATTTCCTGTGTTCTAATCCAAAAAAAAAAACAGCTGGTGCTGAACCTGCAGCTATTGTTACTGCCGTCCCGTTCTCTAAGGTCGAAAATATATTTCCCTTGTCGAGGCCGAACTCGGCAGACGGTGCAGACAGCACTTTCAATGTGACGCGTCACTGGGGCAACTTGTCACCCATGTACTCCGTGGAGTCGTTTGGTCTTCCTGACGCATCCCCCATCATCCCAGAAGGGTGTGGCCTCAATGCAGTGCATCTCTTGATGCGCCATGGCGCTCGCTATCCGACTTCTGACGGCGGAATTTCTCATTTCGCCGCTGACATTCATGCTGCTGCAGTGAAAGAGGGCTTCAATGCCACTGGTGATTTGAAATTCTTGGCAACCTGGACATATAAGCTGGGCGCGGAGATCTTGACGCCTTTCGGCCGCGAGTCGCTGTACGTTCGCTCTCATTTGCGATGCTTCCACTGACGCTCTCCTTCGTCAGCTTTAGCAACGGGGTTGCCTTCCGCTACAGATACGGCCAGTTGCTTAATGGCTTCACGGACCTTCCAGTATTCCGCACTACTTCTGAAGGTTTGTTTGCATCGAACGTTTATTTCATTATGCGCTCTGATGGTTTGCTTATGTCGTATAGATCGCATGGTGGATTCTGCGTAAGCAATTGATTCATATTTTTGCGTGCGCTGCGCCTCATGATACTATTGGTAGCCTGAACTTTGCTGCAGGCTTTTTTGACGTCAGAACTTACGAGACCGACTATCACCAGGAGATCATCATCGAGGAGAACAACTTCAACAACACCCTCGCTCCTTATGATGTGTGCCCCAACGCCAACTCGGAGGATATCGGATACTTCGGTGGCACCCAGGCCAGTAAATGGGCGGATATCTATCTCGAAGATGCTCAAACGCGCTTGCAACCAATGCTCCAAGGATTTAATTTGACCATCTCACGGTTGGTTTACATGCAGCAATTGTGCGCTTATGAGGTAATCTTACCCTTTTCAAACAATCTTGATGGATCTTGTTCCTGACATCCTGCAGACTGTGGCCCTCGGATATTCCAAGTTTTGCGACCTTTTCACTGAGAAAGAATGGGAAGGATTCGAGTACTACAATGGTATGTTCCCTCAAATGATCCATGCTGAGCTCGGCGGTGATCTCTATTTGCAGATCTTGGTGAGTACATTGAGTGGTAAACTTGCAGCCTGAGCGACTAATGACTTTGTTGTGCACAAAGATTTCTGGTACAGCTGTGGACCAGGCAATCCAACATCAGCAGCGCAGGGCCTTGGCTACGTTCAGGAGCTAGTGTCGCGTCTCACTCACACTCCCATCAATGTCTGGAACAGCAGCACCAACAGCACTCTTGATTCGAGCAACATCACATTCCCTCTTAATCAACCTATATATGTTGACGCTTCCCATGACGTGGTCATTTCCAATAGTATGTTGCCACTTTCCGATGCAAGACTACTGACGAAAGGGCTCAGTCGTCACTGCTTTGAACTTTACTAGTCTAGCTGCGACTGGTCCTCTTCCAACCGACCATATACCCCCTCACCGTGTACGCAGTCTCATTAACCACCGCTTGTCTCTATTTCTGACGGGTCACATTAGTCTTACGTTTCTAGCCAGATCGCACCTTTCGCCAGCCAGCTTGTAGCCCAGGTGATCAGTTGCCCAGCCTCGGAGGAGCCAACTCATATCCGGTTCCTTCTGAATGATGGGGTGGTGCCACTGACGGGCATTCATGGTTGCACGGAAGATTCGAACGGTCTTTGCGCGCTGGCCAGCTTTATCAGCGGGATGCATGAACGAATCGGGCAGATCAACTACGCGCATGATTGCTTCGCCAATTATACTATGCCCAATCCCGACAACATCATCGATGGAAGATACCCTAGTTAAAAGGATGAATGAGTATTTGGTCGTATGTACCCATCAGTTGCCATCTTTTGGAGAATGTTAATGATGTCGGAAAAGGTGAACGACGCGCATTTCCCACTAATCCAATTTTCACGGACATTTCGTTATTACATATAACAAGCAATTCACTCGCCTTCGGACGGTTCAGTCGTATCATACATTGTCATCCGCTCTCGGACTGCTTTACAGCAGTAACGAGGAGTAATCTATGTTCTCCGTCTCCCTTTCTTCATCAGTGACGCCCGAATGTCGTAACGGTTCCATACCCTGAACAGCGCTGTGTCAGTGAACCGTGTGCGAACGCATCGGTATGAAGGTCGAGTACAGCACGTCGGAGGGTGAGTCCTTGGCAGCCGTTGAACGTCGTCGCATATACAGGCCGTAAAAAGTGATGCGAGGCAGGTCTGAACAATCAACTTCGCCTATTTGTGGAATCTGCACTTCGGCGAAACATTGGTGCAGAGCACGCGCGTATTTGGTACGTTAGTAACCCCTTCTCCATTGACATATTTCATTGTACTGTCCAAACTTGTAATCGCGGAATGTATTGACTCACGGTGCAGTGGTCAGGAGAGTATGCAATGGAGCAAAGTTGCGATTTTCAAGACCCAACTTTGATGCTCGCAGGAACGAGAACCTCATTCTCCCTCAGCCCGACTTGGAGGTGCTATCACCACAGCCAACCAGTATCAAGCGATGAATTCGTTGCATTCATGTTATCACTTATCAGTACAAGATGAATGGAAGAAGAGATCTCGGGTCGACTAACTCGGGCATGGCCGGGAAATTATATCAGTTACGACAGTTGAAACACAGTAAAAGCGGCCACGGTGCCTACTGAAGGAAACTTCTGGCTGAAGATGATCCGTATGCGGGACACAACGTGTCTACAGCAAAGGCAGGTCATCAGGGTTCAGGGATAATCAGTATCTCATAGAAGACGCAACTTAACGACTACTCACCATCGCGCATGTAAGTGATTGCTGCTCCCTCAGTATTCAGTATTCCTACTAATCGAGACACCGAACAAGATTGAATGGCGGTCACCACCCACAAAGCATCCACAAAAGCGCCCGCCCAGTCTGCTAAACTGACACTGGAGGGTCATGAGGAACTTGTGTTCGAAGTAGCTTTCATCCCAGGTACCCGTCTCCTCGTCACTGGCTCGGCCGATGAGAGTCTTCGAGTGTGGGATCTGGACACGGGGAAACAAGTGGGAGAGCCCTTGTCAGAACACAATGCCCAAGTCTGGGCGGTCTCAGCGTCCCCTGATGGACGTTGGATTGTGAGTGGAGGATATGACGGAAGCATCCTGGTCTGGGAAGTCGCGAAAAACAAGAGAGAGTTCAGAATCAAAAGAGTGCGCGTCTGTTTTGAGGGCCATGACAGTGGTGTTCCGAGCGTCGCATTTGCACCGGACAACAAGACATTTGCAAGTGCATCATGGGACAAAACAGTATGCGTGTGGAACAGGGAGACGGGAAAAATAATCATCCGATTCGGACCACTCGCTGTGGGCAGTGCTGCAAACTCGGTGACGTACTCCCTGGATGGGACGAAATTAGCAACAGGCACAGATAGGAATATCATCATTTGGCATTCAGCAAGTGGAGAAGAGTTGCTGAGAATAGAGCAACGGGCATTCAGAGTCGCATTCACTCCGGATGGTCTCCGTCTCGTCAGTGGAAACATGAAAGACGTTCGAATATCAGATGCTATCACCGGAGCCATCATCAAACAATTCGACGCCCACACCGCTGCATTTTTCTCACTAGCCATTGCTCCCAATGGTACCAAATTCGTCACCGCGTCAGACGACAAGACGACGCAGTTCTTTGACCTGATCACTTTCGAACCCATTGGCGAGCCGCTCCAGCACCCTGACGGAGTCCGGTGTGTGACATTTTCTCAGGACAGTCAGCTCATTGCTACTGGCTGTTACGACGGACATGCTCGTACATGGACAGTTCCTTCGAGCGAGTAAGAGAAGGAGCTGGAACGTTCAACAGGTGAGCAAATTTTCTTCTTATATCATGCTTCACGCCCGCTGACCTGTCACATAGTCCACTGAGAAATTTCTCAAGGTACGCTTTCATGCTCGTTGTTTTGTACAATCCCTAATCCCGCAGAAAACCATCCCAGATGCTCTCCGTGTTGTCAGTTCCTCTATTGTTATGTATCAACTTCCTGCAACTCAGCAGTAGTACTAGTCCTACTCGGTACAGACTATATCTCATAGTGTATATTGGACCTTCGAAGGCTTGGCATACATTGTACATTATACAATTTTCTGGGCGTCTATCCGCATACCACGATGGAAGCTGTTAAAACTCGATACAAGATGAGATATTATGAAATAGTATACTGTACCAAACTCGTTTCCCCATCGCGGGGCAATTAGTCACGCCTGATTGCATCCCCGCATACTGGCTCTTCACGTCGTCGAGGTCTATCGTACCGCCCTGGCTCTTGTGATCATATCCACTCACGCTGGCCATGTAAGAAGCACCAGCAGCATAGGAGAAGGAGCCACACCTCTGTAAACGGTCTGACTGCGAGAATGCCATGGCAGAACCGCCAATGCTTGCGGTGCTTGGCAGTCCAGCATCCGGAGAGAATCCGAGAGATGATGGAACTGGCGTAGCTACCGTATGCGCTGCGCTTCCCAACACCCCCGGAGCCACGGGGTATACCAAATCTACCAGCCGCTGCAAACATAGGGAGTCCAGAAGAATAAGTGGCTTGGGAGCGTAGAAACTGCACGTCAGACGGGATGTATCCGAGAGCATCATGAGTGCGGTAGAAACTAGTATCGAAGCGACTTGGTGTTCCAGATCTGCCTGCACCTCCAGTGCTAGGAATGTAGGTCCGTGCATTTGTCTCGTGGCGACAAAACTGGTCCATGGACTTGATGAGGGAGCGACGAGGTTTGCTGAATTGGATCATGCTCGCCTATAAGTTGCTCAGCGGATCCTCAACAAGGGTGTTACGTTCCTTCGACTGACTCGGACGTGGCTGGGAAATTATATCAACAACAGGTGGAAACACAGTAAAAGCGGCTACGGCGCCTACTGAAGAAAGCTCCTGGAAGAAGCGCTGGAGATTATCCGTATGCAGGACACCACGTGTCTACAGCAAAGCTGACATCAGGGTTCAATAGTCAGTACCTTACACTTAACGACTACTCACTATAGCGCATGTAAGTGATTGCTGCTCCCTCAGTATTCCTGCTAAACGAGACACGGGACAAGATTGAATATTGAATGGCGGTCACCACCCACAAAGTATCCATAAAAGCGCCCGCTCAGCTTGTTGAACTGACACTCAAGGGTCATGAGGAAGCTGTGTATGGCGTCGCTTTTATCCTCGGTACCCGTCTCCTCGTCACCGGCTCGACGGACAAGAGTCTTCGGATGTGGGATCTGGACAATGGGAAACAAGTGGGAGAGCCCTTGTTGGGACACGATGCTCAAGTCTGGGCGGTCTCAGCGTCCCATGATGGACGTTGGATTGTGAGTGGGGGAGGCAATGGAAGCATTCTGGTCTGGGAAGTTGCGACGAACAAGAGGGAGCTCAAAAGAGTGCCCGTCTTGTGTAAGGGCCATGAGAATGCGGTCCAGGGCGTCGTATTTGCACCGGATAACAAGACATTCGCAAGTGCATCGGAGGACAAAACGGTATGCGTGTGGAAGAGGGAGACAGGAAAAATAGCCCTTGGACCACTCCAAGTGGGTGGTGATGCATATGTAAACTCGGTGTCGTACTCCCCGGATGGGACAAAACTAGCAGCAGGCACAGAGAAGCACATCATTATTTGGAATTCAGCAAGTGGAGAAGAGTTGCTAAAATTAGAACAGCCGGCATGGCGAGTCGCATTCACTCCGGATGGTCTCCGTCTCATCAGTGGAAACCTGAGAGACATCCGAATATCAGATGCTACCACTGGAGACATCATCAAACAGTTCGACGCGCATACTACCGAATCCTTTTTATCACTAGCCATCGCTCCCAGTGGCACCAAATTAGCCACCACATCACACGACAAGACGACACGGTTCTTTGACTTGACCACTTTCGAACCCATCGGCGAGCCACTCGAGCACCCTGATCCAGTCTGGTGTGTGGCATTTTCCGAGGACAGCAAACTCATCGCGACTGGCTGTCAGGACGGACATGTTCGCACATGGACAATTCCTCTGAGCGAGTCAGAGAAGGAGCTCCAACAGGCGAGCCAATCATCACGTCATATCATACTTCACGCCCGCTGACCTGTCATATAGTCCACTCAGAAAATTCTCGAGGTACGCCGCTTTCACGCTCGTTGTTTTGTACAATCCCTAATTTCAGTCCTACAGAAAACCATCCCAGATCCGCGGCTTCGCCTAAAATGCACTCCAATAGCGACTAATAGATTCTTCGATGATGTAAGTCCATATGATACAGTAGATCTGATGCACGTCTCACCATCCTTTGACAGTTTGATCCAACTGCACGCAACAATCGCATCGGCACTACGCGCAATGCCAAAGGTTCCAAAATCAAAAACATGATACATCGTATCTTTTCTCGCTCCTCCGCTTCCCAGGACCATACTCCTCACCGGCACCCACGGGGGTTTCCCTTTGTGGATATCTTTGCAACGCGAGGCAAATATGTAAGCTTTCCTGACTTTTGACACCCACCTAGTGACGTTGATATTGTCTCGCAGCGCACCGCTAATGCTCACAGTGGAAAAAGGGACAAGTTGTTGCGGCTACAACGTCCTCCTCGCAAGCAAGCCCACGCTGGTGCCTCGAGCAGCAGCATGCCACCAGCGGGGACGTCCAATGTGGTCAATGAAACTGGGCCAGCAACGTTGCAGACCGGAAGTACCAGTCCCTCCTCTCCACTAGATGTCGCACATGCCCCACACAGCAGCTGCTTTGCGGTTCTCGCAATGTGCCTCCCATGTTTATCACGATCCACTTCAGGTTCCTGCTAGGCTTCTTGTCCCTTCTGAGTATTTTTATTGGGGTAGATGTTACCACATGTATTGGAAGATACTAATTCGATAATGTTCCTGGTAAAGGACTACCATCGTATGCAGCATTCTCTTGTTCAGCTGATTAGATACCACTTATTTGCCGGTAATACCTGGACTGCTTGCGCTAACAGAGCAAACAATGGGCCAGGTAAAATTGACGCGGTCGTGACGCGCCTGTGATGCGGAGATATCCTGCACTTGCAGATGAAGATAGGTCTATTGCTGAGTTTTCCTTGCTGTTTGGATTCCACACCGTTCTTCGTGGACAGTAAACTGAAGGCAATTTCCGCTGCATGCAGCGCATGCAGACACACTCAATGGTTGCCAAGGACTGACACAGTACTTGACCTGGGAACAGATCTGTTTGCTCACAGCCAATTATATACGGCATTGTCCAGGGTGAGAACACGAAGAGATATGCTGTTTGCAGAGACAAACGAAGAACAGAACTGTGTGAATATTGTGTTTCCTCACTTGCTACATACCGTAAATACAATTTGGTGTCGAAGAACAGACCAATCGCGAAGGCGTCACGGTGTCCTTGTTATAAATGTAAAATGTAATAATGAAATATGTCGGATTAGTGGAATATGTGCGTTGTTCACCTTTTTCCGACATCATAAACGTTCTTCAAAAGGTGGCAACTTGTGGGTAAATACGACCAAATATACATTTCATTAGTGCCGAATTTGAAATGATTTTCAAATTTCCCATGCCAATGTCATTTTGATTTTCGAGCATGTCCACATATGTGTAGCGTTCTGTTCGAAGTTAACTTCTTACTATGTAGCTATATAATCACGCACATTTGCTATATAACGTATGTCGACTGACCTCTCTAACACACTAAGCCATGTTTGCTACCGTTCTGGTGCTTGCTCTGCCGTTCTGCGCTGCAGAGTCTGCATCCAGTTATGCAGGATCAACCGTCGTCGATTCTTATCCTCCCCCCGGTGCTACCAACACCGCTATTGACGCTTACTTCCCGGATGCATCTCAAGTCGGTTATGCAGGTCCAACGCCTAGTGGGTGTTAATGCTAATTGTATTTCCCATGTTCTAATCAAAAATATTCAGCTGGTGCTGAACCTGCGGCCATCGTCACTGCCATCCCGTTCTCTAAGGTCGAAAACATATTTCCCTTGTCGAGGCCCAACTCTGCAGACGGCGCAGACAGCAATTTCAATGTGACGCGTCACTGGGGCAACTTGTCGCCCATGTACTCCGTAGAGTCATTTGGACTTCCTGACGCATCCCCCATCATCCCAGAAGGGTGTGGCCTCAATGCAGTGCATCTCTTGATGCGCCACGGCGCCCGCTATCCAACTTCTGGCTCCGGACCTTCTCAGTTCGCCTCTGACATTCATGCTGCTGCAATGAAAGACGGCTTTAGTGCCACTGATGATTTGGAATTCTTGGCAACCTGGACATATAAGTTGGGCGCGGAGATCTTGACGCCTTTTGGCCGCGAATCCCTGTACGTTGGCTCTTCTTTGCGATGCTTCCACTGACGCTCTCCTCCGTCAGCTTTAGCAACGGGGTTGCCTTTCGCTATAGATATGGCCAGTTGCTTAATGGCTTCACGGACCTCCCAGTATTCCGCACTACTTCCGAAGGTTTGTTTGCATCGAACATTTATTTCATAATGCGCTCTGATGGTTGGCTTATATCGTATAGATCGCATGGTGGATTCTGCGTAAGCAATTGATTCATATTTTTGCGTGCGCTGCGCCTCATGATACTACTATTGGTAGCCTGAACTTTGCTGCAGGCTTTTTTGACGTCAGAACTTACAAGACCGACTATCATCAGGAGATCATCATCGAGGAGAACAACTTCAACAACACCCTAGCTCCTTATGATGTGTGCCCCAACGCCAACTCGGAGGATATCGGATACTTCGGTGGCACCCAGGCCAGTAAATGGGCGGATATCTATCTCAAAGATGCTCGAAGGCGCTTGCAACCAATGATCCAAGGATTGAATTTGACCATCTCACTATTGGTTGACATGCAAGAACTGTGCGCTTATGAGGTAATCCCATCCTTTGACGCGGTCTTCATGGATTTGTGACATGCTGCAGACGGTGGCCCTTGGATATTCCAAGTTTTGCGAGCTTTTCACTGAGGAAGAATGGGAAGGATTTGAGTACTACAATGGTATGTTCCCTCAAATTATCCTTGCTGATCTCAGCGGGGATCTCTATTTGCAGATCTTGGTGAGTACTACATTGAGCGGTAAACTTGTAGCCTGAGCGACTGTTGACTTCGTTGTGAACAAAGATTTCTGGTACAGCAATGGACCAGGCAATCCAACAGCGGCAGCGCAGGGCCTTGGCTATGTCCAGGAGCTAGTGTCGCGTCTCACCCACACTCCCATCGATGTCTGGAACAGCAGCACCAACAGCACTCTTGATTCGAGCAACATCACATTCCCTCTTAATCAACCTATATATGTTGACGCTTCCCACGACACGGTCATCTCCTGTAGTATGTTGTCACTGCCTTCTTTTCCAATGCAAGACTACTGACGAAAGGGCTCAGTCGTCACTGCTCTGAACTTTACTAGTCTAGCTGCAACTGGTCCTCTCCCAACCGACCATATACCCCCTCACCGTGTACGCGTTCTCATGAACCACCGCTTGTCACTATTTCTGACGGGTCACATCAGTCTTACATTTCTAGCCAGATCGCACCTTTCGCCAGCCAGCTTGTAGCGCAGGTGATCAGTTGCCCAGCCTCGGAGGAGCCAACTCATATCCGGTTCCTTCTGAACGATGGGGTGGTGCCACTGACGGGCATTCATGGTTGCACAGAAGATTCGAACGGTCTTTGTGCGCTACCCAGCTTTATCAGCGGGATGCATGAACGAATCGGGCAGATCAACTACGCGCATGATTGCTTCGCCAATTATACTATGCCCAA